AACATAAAAATCTGATCATAGTAAAATTACTAATATACCTGATATAGGTTTGATTACTTAGTTGATTTACCACCCTAGTAAGCTATCATACGTAGCACCAGTTTTTTGGTAACTTATCATGGTAACTTACCGGTAACTTACCGGTAACTTAGTGGCGAATAAAGAGCGTAATCACGTGATCTTTGTCCAATAATATTGAAAATTCAACCAACCCCAAACCGTCTTTGGTGTCTTAATAAAAAAATTTCTTACAAAATTAATATGGTCTTTAAGCACCTTAGTGCTAAACAATACATACCCTAAAGAAAGATTTTATTATTTTAATACTTCACTTTATTTTACGTTACACCTGATATTGTGATGTGATTGGACAAAAATCATGTGATTGGCTCTTCCATTCGCCACCACTAAGTTACTAGGAAACTTTCGGTAATTTTACAACCCGGCATGGGATAAATTAGCGAAGCAACTAAAAATTAAGCAGATCGACAAAATTTAGCTAGGACGGCATTAAGCAATAATACCAGCTAACTATACTACAGCAAAATTATTATCTGAGCAGCTTTACTTAGAAGAAATTGATCAATTTCGACTATTCCGAGGTCGATCTGCTGAATTTTGGTTGATCATAACGATTAACATTGATTTATCCTCTATTTTCGTTTTGTTTAAAAAAATGAAAATTTAAAGAGATACGTTCGATTATATTCTATTAAACATGTGAATTGTAGATTTAATCCTTGACGTTAATCTTACACTTTTTGGTGCAAATCTTTTTCCATCACTTAATTATTACGTATGACGTTATCATTTATACATGTACTGTTGAACCTCCCAATCTCGATAAAAATTAATCCTCAATGTCTATTTCTGCTATATAAATCTATTGTTTGTATTGTTTTCAAATTTAACAACCTTCAAATACTGATATCAATTTTGGGAGGTTCAACGGTAGCCAAAAATTTAATACTAATTTATTTTATTTTTTTTTCATTGTTCTTTTTGCTTTATTGTTCTAGGATCTGTATAATGATATTCTACCTTGTATGTATTTTCAAAACCTGGCGGTGGTGGTGGTTCTGTGGTCTTAACAAGTACTAAAGCGGCAGCAGCCTATAGAAAAATTTCTATTAGAATCAAAATGAAATATATAATGTAAGAAATCTAACAAGAATATAAATTACCTGAGCAATACCATAAAACATCATTCCAACCAATGGCAATCTTATTAAAGAATAGAATCCAATAGAGAAACCAAATAACATTCCTTCTCTTTCCCTAAACCATTTCCTTTTAATTTCTTTATCAAATTTAATTCTTCCAAAATAAGGTTCCAATAATTCCCTCATCAAAGCTCTGGAAGAATATAAACTTTCTAAAAACACCATAGCAAAAGGTTTTGTACCTGGTGTTATATACATCAAGATACCCACAACAATGGCTTGTTTATAACCTAATGAGTTTACCAGAGCGTAAGCACTCGCGATTGGATAAACTAACACGCCAATAAAGGGTATCAATGAAAGTAAGTACAATATCATCGTTACTTTGATTTGATTTAAAGTGTGAATTAAATATTGTTTCATCTCATTCCAATAATTTATATTATATTCGTAGCGTTCTAAGGCAGGAGTATATGCTGGCCGCAAGTCTTGTTCATTTGTATGTTTTTTAATATAAGTATGATCAATATGACGTAAGGATTCCATAAATAATGAGTCTAGTGACTGCGGATACAAGTAACGCATAAATAAAAGTCCTAAGAACGGTAAATTCAATACATAATTTGCAACCCATAAGTAATTTTCGGAAAACGCGGAGTGATCGTATTTAAAAATAAAAGATAAAAGATAAATTAAAATTTGTAAAAGTTTTAAAGGAATCGCCAAGAATGTTGAGGTAATAAAATAGAGTGAAAAGCTGACAACAACCAGGTACAAATAAGCTTTCATAAAGCTCTGTTTGTATAAATAACGGTTTTGAAAAGCCATTATGGAACCCAACCACGCAAGTTGGGCTCCACGTATTACTTGTGACAGAGACCAAGCCATTTTTACAACATGAAAAAGAAGGATTAAGAATATATTTATATATTTATAGAATAACCTGTATAATCATATGATTATATAATTGATCTACAGCTTTACATGTGATATATGTGATATGGATTTGTCAATCTTGACAAGAATTTATTTAATATTCCTCATCCTCGTAAAAGCTTTGCGTCCAAGCCTACTTCTTTTTTTATTAAGAGGCATTTCATTTGACTCTTCTTTGTACCCTTTATGTGGTTCAGGTGCTTCTTCCAGTCCGAATAATTTTGGGTCTTCTCTTATCGCATATTCATAAATTACTCTTCTTTCACTTAGCACATGCTTGATTCTTGCCATTGATTTTTGCGTCTGTTGTAAATAATTGATAGAAATAAGCATATGATAAAAAATTACTAAGAAAAGGAAGATTATTGGCTTAATAAAATCATAGCAATATCTACCTTAAATTTTCTATCATCCCACTTTTTTAACCATTCTTTATCAGCTATCTTATTCCAGTGTTTTGCTTCTTCAAACATTGTAGCGAGTAAATTACGTTCTTTCAATAGAATATACCAGAGTTTATGTAAATCATCAAAAGATTTTACGCGTAATTCTGAAGCTGTCCATGATCGACCTTATCAACAATAAAATGTAAAAATTTGTTGAACGAAATTTTTAAAACGATGAACAGAAATTGAAAAAAAAAACTAGAAGAGTCCCATCATGTTATCTCCCTTAAAATATTTACCCGTAATCATATCTTTAACATCGGGTAACGGATTAGGATCATGAATACCACCCTGAAAAAATTCATATAAACCTTTAACATTAGAATTATTTGTAGCTTTCCAATTCGTTAAAGTCTTGGAAATTATAGGCGAAGTATGAAATGAACGGAATATGTATTTGTTCATTTTTGATGATCTTCGGTTTTTAAAACCTTTTATATAATTACCACGTGATGCATATCTCAAAAAACTATATATCGATATTGGTTATTTTGAGATCTAGGTATTGTAATGAATTAAATGAATTAATAACAAAAAAAATCATTTATCATTTTTAAATTTTATTAATACTGTATATATATATATATATAAATAAAAGTTATAACTAAAATATTCAAATTAAATTTAAAGCATACCAGTGGTGCAAATTAAAATTTCTATTAAATTTAATTAAACATTAATAATCTTTAATTAAAGTTTAAAAAATAAAATTATAAATATTTTTTAATATCTTAATCAAAATTTTTTTTTTTTTTTTTTAATCTTCAAAGGAAAAAATTTTTGTTTAATACTACCTAAAATCAAATTTTTATTTGAATTTTACAGATCTATAAAATTAAATATTGCTAACCTTCCTGGTTAACATAACCACCCTTTTATTATAACTCAAAAAACGGCTTAAATAACTATGTTTGATGCACTAAGTAAAAAATGTTTAGCACTATAAAAAAACTTTATTTTATCCTTAATGTTAACCCTAATTCTAATTTATAATAAATTATGGGTGATAATTTTAGTCAGGTTAAAATTGGTTAAATTCAAACAAAAATTCTTATCGTTATTGAATTTTATTACATTTCTTTTTTCGGAAATATCTAAGTTGGGATATAACTCAACACGTACGTATATAAAACATATTAAAAAAGAAAATTTATTCTGCTCAAATATGGGGATATAACTAAGGTAACGAATAAGAGGTTATACAGTATAACCCATAACCCAGGCATGACTGTAATTATCATTTAAATTTAAATATCCTGTAGCTATCTCTATAGATTTATTTTTTAAATAAATATTTCTCAATATCTAATTAAATTTGATGATATTTTCATTGAATAAGCTTAAAAATATGACTATTACCCTTTTTTTAGGATATTTAATCTTTATTTAATCGTTTAAGTGAATATTTCTCGATAACTACTAAACAAATTCGATATCGAACTTGATCAGGTATTCTGAGATTTTGAAAAGGATCATAACAATTAATTAAAGTCAAGAGTCTGCGCACATTTTGTGCGACACCTATGTTCGATATAACGTAATGTCCCTCAGCCTTTTTATTTCAGTATTTACACACATTAATTGGTACAGTTTCTTAAATATTTTTTTTGACCCAAAATCAAATGGTTCATAAGTTATAACCCAAAAATTGTTAAAAAAACATTAAGGTACAAAATAAATCCGAGAGAACAAATATATAATTATTAAAAAAATTAGATTATTATGAATTATTGTTATCTATAGTTTCTGTTGCATTTTCTTCCTCTTCTGATTCGATGTCAGGCAAAGGAAAATTAAGAATTGCAGCTACCCCCGTGAGTTGATTAAGTTCTAAAATAATAATAATAATAATAATAATAAAATTGGGTTAATGATTAACGAATTTAAATAAATTCATGTAACACTTTGGCTTACGTTCTCCTGAAACGTGTAGGCTTGAAAATATTAGCACTTTGCCACCACTTGAACGAACTGATTCGACAAGACGAATATATTTTCTACGAGTTGGAATATCTGCAGACCTTTAAAAATTACAAATAATTAATAAACTTGAAGTTTATTTGCCTTCACGTTAAATTGTGCCTTCATTATACCTAAATAATCCGTCAGAAAGAAGTAACGTTCCGATAGCACCCCTTTCTTCTGCTTTTCTCACATGATCCCATCCATAGAAGGCTCTGTCAGGATCTTCATTAAGCATCTTGAAAAACTTATCTAGAGCGACAATTTCCCTTGCGAACTTTGTGTCTGTTAACTGGCTTTGTACAGCTGAATCTTGTAATACTTCTTGAAGTGAATGTTTATGACCTGACGAGCAATGAATAAGGATAAATTTTGATTTATTTTCCAATAATGGTCTAATATCTTGTTTCTAATCACCACATAATAAAATAAGGACATGAAATATAACATTCATAACTGTCTAAACATAAATATAATGAAAACTTAAATACCAATGCCTCTGCAAATATATATTCGCGAAGTTGATCCTTATTACATGAGATATTATGTTAATAATTATTTTACTTGATGAGGTTCTTTAAACTTTTAAAATCTTACCTTAACAAATCCAGGGCTCGCCAAAATGACAACCTTGACTATTTCGAAGTTTATATGCCGTAAAATCGCTTGTAACACTTGATCATAGAATTTTTGCAAGCCCTTAATGTCACAAAAAAAAAAGATCAATAACAGTAGAAAGGAAATTTGATTTATGTTGAATATTCAATTACAAATTAAAACCTTTTCATAATTTGTCACAAATCCCTTGCGTTTACGTGGAATTGGGTGTTCAATTCTTTGTCGCACTATAGTCATGTGCTGTGTAACTAAGCATAAATTCGCTAGACCTGAATTAATAAATATGATAAATATGATGATAGAATAGGGAATTACTAAGTACAAGACTATCTAAGTATAGACTAACCCTCCTGGAGCACGACTGCAGCAACATCAGCTTGTTTGGTGATATCGCATGCTTCTTCAATACGTTCAAGTGCGATAATATCCCATTCTGATTTAAATAGCGTAAAATTTCGATTTAACTCAAGATCAATCGTATGATACATTCCCATCTGAGATATTATTATAAATAATGTTTTAGATAACACATAATGTTTATGTAAAACATCAGAAATTTACAAATATAGAAATTATACTTTGACATATTTATTTTCGACCATATTACGTCCCCTAATTCTCAATAGACCACCTTGCGGATCAAAATCTATATCCTCCACTGTTATGGTTAAAGTAAGTCTAATTCGCTGTGACTCTACCGAACCAGTACTACTTTCATTTTGAACACGCCTATATATAAGTAGATAACACTTGGTCTTAATTGAAAAATTTTAAGTTCGGGGACCAAAAGGAATCTTGATATTTACCGTATTGTCGTGGCTTTCAAACTATCACCTACTGAAATTAGATTATACACATGCCACATGTCCTCGAGCTCTTCGGGATAAAGTTCAACGGTTCCCTATGTTTAAGTGATACAAATCAATTTTAATAACCACATACAGAGCATAATTATCTTTTATGAAACTTACCGATCGATCTTTATCAATTCGTTTTCTAACCAGTTTCATGTTTGAAATTTTTTATGCACGTACTGTACGTACGTACGTAATGTTATATTTTAAAAAATGAAATACCATGTGACTATTACCGGTTTTTAATTTGCTGATTAGCGTTAGATAAATGGGAGGTTACTACGTATGTAACCAGTAGAGAGTCCATTACCGGTATTTGTATTATATGCATAGATCCATCGATCTTGGTTAAAGCTATTACAAGTTTGCTATTGGTTGAAAAATAATAAAAGTAATCAATAAAGAATAGAAGATAATCCTAAGTCTTCAAAGTCTGTCAGTAAGTTTTAAACTACGGCTTATTTTGATTGTTTCTTGATCACTTTTACTCCTTTATTAAGCTGTTTTGTCATTACATATTATAATTTATTTAGGAAGTCGTCTTTCAATGTCCGTGTCTGACATTGACTAAAACAGATCATTCACATCCCCAGATGTCAGCCGTCCGATCAAAGTAAGTTTTTGTATCAGGATTATAATTTAACTTTTTTTTATTTTTATATAATAATTTATCATGTCCGCATAGTTGGCAAAAAAAAATCATATTTAAACATTACAATTCGAATTTTTACTATTAAAAGTCAAGTTCAGAACGAAGAAGAGGATAGTCCTACAGATACCACAAACCCTGCATTTCCTGAATCACCGACCCTTCCACCTGATAATAATGTCTCAGAAGATCCTCGCCTATCGATTTCTCCTAATAATCCAGTCTCTTCTTCAAGTTCGTTATTGTCTCTCTAATTCATAAATGCAAACTTTATTAGATCAAAGCTTCTCCTGCATTTGATACTAGCATATTCTAATGACTTTCATCTACTTTTTACGCTATCAATTAATTATTTTATAAAGTAACCTCGCCTACAACCACACCACCACCTCACGCCAATACGTATAATCCATCATCTCCTGCCCACTTATCAAGCCGAGTTACTCAACAAACATCATCGTCCAATCAACCTAACCAACGTGGTCCCACGCCGGCTGGCAGCCAATCTCCGATAGTAACAGTGACAACAGCAACGAGAAGACATTATCATCATCACGGAGGAGGAAGAAAGAATTATCAAGATCCTCATACACATATGCCTCAAGCACCACCAGTTCCTCCTGCGCCTGCACCATCAATGTACTGGTCAAAAATGAGGACTCATGGTAAAATTCCAAAAGCCCTCAGAGCGCATACAGTAAATTTGGTGGGTGAATTGATGTATGTGTTCGGTGGATGTGATTCCCGAACATGTTTCAATTCTATATATATATTTGATGCTGGTATGCAATTGATATTATTCTTAACATCCTATATTTTAACCAATCCTTAGCATTGTATTTGTATTGATTTGTTGCAAATTGCATGATATTTTTAGACACGATGTATTGGAGTAAGCCAAGAACTATTGGTGATCCACCGCCGGCATGCCGTGCACATTCCTCCACCCTTGTAGATAAGAAGTTATTTATATTTGGAGGAGGTGACGGACCTGAATATTTCAATGACCTATATGTTTTCGACACCGGTACAGATAATTTCCCTTCTCCTGAAGAAAATTAATCGGTTATTCTTATACGTTTATAATTTTTTTGTGCGTAAGAATATTAATGCTAATCTTAATCATGGATTTTATCATTCCTTCCCTTTTTTTTTTTTTTTTTTTTTTTTTTTTTTAAACGATTTATCACTTTTAGATACGCTTACGTGGTCAAAACCTAAAACAACAGGCAATATTCCGTCAAGACGCCGTGCACATACCACCGCCTATTATAATAATTGTATCTATGTTTTTGGTGGTGGTGATGGGGTTCGTGCCCTCAACGATGTCTACAAATTAGATATATCTGACATGAACAATTTAGTCTGGCAAAAGCTAGAAACAACTGGGAGAGCACCAATTTCTAGAGGTTATCACACCAGTAATCTCGTTGGAAATAAGCTTGTGGTATATGGCGGTAGTGATGGTCATGAGTGTTTTGATGATGTTTTTATGCTGGACTTAGGTAAATGTAGAAATCAATTTTAACCAGGAAATAAAATAACTCACATGTTAACAATGATATATATATATATATATATATATATATAATTTTTTTTTTTTTTTTTTTTTTTTTTTTTTTTTTTTTTTTAGAAAGAAACAATTGGATTAGTGTTAATATTGAAAATTCTCGCCAACGGCTTTCACATACTGCAACACAAGTAGGATCATATCTGTTTATCGTTTGTGGGCACGACGGTGTACGGTATACATCGGAAGTTCTTTTATTAAACTTGGGTATGTACCAAATGAACCAAATGATTAACAATAAAGAAGCTGCTATAATAAATTATCTTATTATTATTATTTTTTATTACATGATACAAAATGACTTAATTATAAACTCTTCTCCTCTCTAGTTACTATGCAATGGGAGGTCCGCAAAGTATATGGCACACCGCCATCAGGCAGGGGGTATCATACAACGGTACTTTACGATTCTCGACTTTTCGTTTTCGGGGGATATGATGGTCATAGCGTCTTCGACGACGTTTATGTCTTGGATTTATCAGCTTGCGCGTATTTGCCGCAAATAACAAATTTTCAGCTGGGGATTGGATCCACTTAAAATTTTTCTAGTCGTTTAACCGTGTTAATCATTTAATTCATCCAAAGAAAATATTGTCAAGAATTTTTTTTTTAATTTTAATTCGACATTCTCTCTAACAAATTTTTCATAAATCGACTATAATGTTATTTTTTCTTCGTTGGAATTGATTTCTTTCGACTTTAATGTTCATTTTTTTGCGTTGGATTTGATTTCTTTGTTATATTTTTCGTTTTTTTACACATTCTAACATAGTTTTTAAGCTAGAGAATGACTTTTTCTTTTATACTATTATTGACGGATAAATGAGTGTTTAATATTTTGCGTGAAGAAACTTGTAAACTATAGTCATATTTAAATACAATGATTTCAATAGTGTATCATGAAAACTTCTTTAATTATATTTTGGTCTCAAAAGAAGTTTTTATGATTTCTATTTAATTAAAGTACTTTAAGGAAAAAAAAATAAAAAATAAAAATTATGTATATTACAATAAAAATATATATATAAGGGAAATAGGGGTATTATGGCGAAGTTAACTTTATCGGCATGTAGCTTGTCGTTACGTGATCCAAATCACATGATTTTTATACCGTTCGATTCTTCTCAATCGGACGGTCTACGGGCACGTACCAAATCACGTGATTGGGCACGTACGGTAATATCACGTGATATTCGCATACGAACGATTAAACGATTTATACGATGAATGAGAAATACAATGTCCATTAGATATGGGACAAATTGACTAGATTATATACTTAATTTCTTTTTATTCTTTAATTATTTAATCCTTTTATTTTTAATCTTTTTTATTTATATGTATTTTTTTATTTTTTTTTTAAATGGAGCATATTAGACGCATCTTATGTCTGTTAGATAGGCCAAATTGATTAAACTTATTATTCATATTTTTAGTATTTTTGTGAATAAATAATGTTCGCCCCTTCCAATTATTATTAAAGTATTATGATAAATTCAACCATAAGTATAAAATGAATTAAATCGTAATAAATAACTGTCAAACGCAAAGAATAAATTGCACATTTATTCAACTTACCTCTTAGTTCACTAATCGGAGTAACAAAATAACCATTATTATTAATCATCTGAAACATTCCGATCAGTAAACTTGGAAAATCTAGATTTTGTATGCAGAATTATGTAATGGATACATCATAAGAAAAAAATTTTTTTACATTATATAAAAAAAAAAAAGAAATTTTTTTCTTTCGCTTTGGCAAAATACATTCCTATAAAACAAACACTTTCACTAGTTGTTAATATAACATTTAACCCGTTATATATATATATAATCACTTACTTTTTAGTGGAATTATATACCAGACTTTGTTGGTTTGATTATACTCTACGGCCTTATACAATTTATCTAATTCGTTCATGCAACTTTATAATTATAACCACAATGTCTAAACCTCTTATGCCCAATGTGAATGATAAGTTTGATTCTCTGGAAGCTTTCGAAGATGCTGCAAGATTAGCTGCTAAGTATGAAGGGTTTGCATTTTCAAGAAAAGATAGCAACCTTACCGGGTGTAAAGGAAAATCGCTC